TTTTTTAGTAGAACTTTAAAATTCTGTTTTAAAAAGACTAAAATATGAAATGATGAATGATTATAGCTTGGTAATTCTGCATGAGTACAACAAAGAGAATCATAACAAAATAATAACAGCTGGTGGAGACCAGTGTCAGAATGCTTGTTAAGGACAAGAGATCCTGTTTGCAGGGAAAGCAGGTAGATTTTAAAGTCCTCTGATGTCTGTCGCTGACCTCCTGTTCATACACAAGTTGTGTTTGTGTGTGTGTGTGTGTGTGTGTGTGTGTGTGAGTGAGAGAGAGCGAGAGAGAATATACTTATGTGCTAGGTGAAGAGTAAGTGGAAAAGGAACATGGACACTTGTTGATGAATTGACCTAAAGAAGGGAAAAATTGCCGATTTCGGGAATAGTAAGACATTTTAAAGGCAGAATACTGGATAGGTGAGCATATTGAGATATCTGTGAAAAATAAAAAGATAAAGAGTAATAATGTAGAAGGAAAATTCTAAATTACCATGTGGTCAATGTTTTGATAATTAAATGGACAATTTAATGTTAGTAGTGGCAACTATCATGAACAATATTTCTGTTAGAAAAAACTTACAGAAGTTCCTGACCCCTATAGAAGAATGATTTCAAATTTTCTCCCCATGTATTAACTTGCATCACTTTGCTTTTTGTATAACATTCATTGTCCTCATAATACATGTTAATTCATTAACAGAATCCACATAGAGAGTTTGAGTTGACATACATATAAATGGGCACTGGCTACCTGTATATTTCAAGTCATTGATCTCAGTAATCACCAGTAGATTTTGTTCTTCTTGTGGCCTCTTGATCGTTTAAAACCTATGATGACTTTTTTGGGGGGTTTTTAGCACAGTGAGAAAAGATCCCTCATTCATGAATTCATTCAGTAAATGCTAGCCTTGATGTTAAATATTGTGCATATTTAACTAAGGACTGTTTAATCTGCTAGGCATATATGTGAATAGAAATTACTAGATCTTATGTTATATCTTCCATATGAGTTTTTCTGCTCCTCTTAATCATTTAAGGTTATTACTGTTGTGTATTAATATTTGTGGTCTCCATTTGATATTTGTGGTACTTTCTCTTTGATATTCAGTATTTGACAGTGTGTTCTCTTTTTCTCAGTGCAAGTTCTGTTGAAATCTTTACCCTTTCTAGCCACAGTGATAGGCTGTATGGAGCCATTTCTTAACCTGATAGTGCTCTCTTTTGTTACATTTTAAACAAGCCCTTTGTTTTAGCATCATAAAGAATGGGGAAGAGCATTACTTACAATTTTCTATTTATAATTAGCATTTACCCAAGAGGCATATTGACTCTTAATTTATAAGGAGATTCAGTTTCTAAGAGTGAGCCTACCAGTAACCATCTGTCCTAAAGAAGTCTGTGGACAGCTTAAATTTTCAGTTTTCTCCTCTTTCAAAGAAAGGGACTAATATCTTCCTTACCTGTTTTATAGGGTTATTATGGATTATGTAAGAGAATTTACTTGAAAATTCTTTGAAAACCTGATGATAATGATGCTGGGTACCATTATTGGATATATGCTGGGCCAGGCACTATGATGTGGGCTCTTTGTGTTGTCTCACAGATTCCAGCTCTCTTGGGAGCCACTCTTAATAGTGAGATAAATAAAGATATTTGAGGATTTCAAAGGAAAGAAATAATTGCTTCTGGCTGGAATTCAGGAAACATTTTCTGGATGAGGTGATATTTTGGCTGAGGCTCACAGCATTTATGGGAGAATGTTTCCTTGGTGGCACAGAAATGGTCTTTTATGTATCATTCATCTAATTGTAAAATACTCTTCAGTTTGTAAAATGACTATCTCTTCTTGGATTAAATACTTGCCTCAAGCACGTAATTTGGCTGTTGCCCATGCTTTTTGCTCCCTCAGAGAAGAGGGAACTTCACTGCTTTGTTTTTTTCTGGAACGGCAGGCACTGGTTTCTTCCAAGGACCCTGGAGGGTTGCCTATCTATGTGGACACAAGCTGAATGCTCTCCTCTGCCTGGTGCTGGGAACATAATGACATTGTTCATCACAGCTACCCAAGCCTGTGTTCAGTCACTAAGCAAGCTGTCGTGTACAGCACCATGGCGACAGTCAACATCATAAAATAACTTGTTATTTTATAAGTTATTTGTGCTACAGATTTTGAGCAAAATTCATAGTTTGGGGAATATTGCTAGAATTGATCTTAGTAATCTTCAAAGAAACTAGTCAGTGACAGTGTGGTTCATCTTAGATACATAGATATTGCTGCTGCAATACTGTTTGTGTGTTTCTGTAAGAGCCTGTCTTTTATAAAAATCTCTCAGGGTCCCTGTGGACTCTTAAGGTTGGAGCAGACCACTGAATGTCTATATTGCATTTTAACCTACATAAGGCAAGAATGGATACCTGAAGAGAGGACTTGTGCTGCTTGGACAAGTAACTGTGAATGCACAACAAATACCCAAGTGCACAGGACCAAGAGCCTATGTTCAACTGGGCCACCTCACCTTGATATGGGGCTAGCAGCAGGCCTGCACAGTGTTGTGAATGAACCCGGATTATAGGCACAAGTTTTAACAAGTTCAGAAAATTTGTCCAGAAATGTTCCTTTGTCCATTGCAGCCCTTCATCTGGGACTTTTCCCTTTGTTTCCAAACAACTCCACCCACTGCTCTAGCTCCCCTGCAGGGGAAAAACTTTGGACCAAAATGACCTTCATGTGATCCTAACTTCTTTTCCTCTTTACCAACTAAAGTGCAGCTACTTTCCATTAAAGACACATTGTAGCAGAACAACTGTGTGTTTACTTCCTAATCAGCACTTTCCTTAGATACTTGTTATTATACCTCTATTCCCTTCCCCCTAGTAACCAGCAAACAGCTTAACATTGTGCTTGTTCATATCCTTCCCCCATTCCAACTACCTTACCTTAAAAAAGTACCAGGATAGACACAGATCTTGATAAACAGTAATATAAGACAGTGCTTTGGAGAGGCATGTGGCCTAGCTCAATATGTGGATACATGCCATTGGCACTTAGACAAAGGAAGAATGAAAAGTTTGGGGTCGAGTGGAAATGAATGAAGTAAATGTGAGAGGGAGAAAGAAAAATGAAAGTAATCTAAAAATCTAAAAAATTGGCACTATCTAAATTTTTTTTTTTATTATTTACTGTTAAGCATTTGGGTTGAATGCTATAGAAACTTACCTTAGGGAATGTCTATTTATCAACCAGACATTAGGGTAGATATTTCACTTTTGTTATTCTCATTGAATTCATATATTTTTTAATTTTTTTTAAATTAAAATAGCATAGAAAGCCAGGTGTGGTGGCACATGCCTGTAATCCCAGCAGCTCAGAAGGCTAAGGCAGGAGGATCTTTTATTTTTTATTAAATTTTTAAAATTTATATATGACAGCAGAATGCATTACAATTCTTATTACATATATAGAGGACAATTTTTCGTATCTCTGGTTGTATACAAAGTATGTTCACACCAATTCGTGTCTTTATACTTGTACTTTGGATAATAATGATCATCATGTTCCACCATCATTTCTAACCCCATAGGCAGGAGGATCTTGAGTTCAAGGTCAGCCTCAAAAACTTAGTGAGTCCCTAAGCAACTCAGAGAGACTCTGTCTCTAAATAAAAATAATAATAATAAAAGGGTTGGGGATGTGGCTCAGTGGTTACACTGAGTTCTATCCTTGGTACCCAACCCCCCTGCTAAAAAAAAAAAAAAAAGTAGCATAGAGAGTAATAAAAAAATATGTGTACTCACTACCTAGAAGTAATAACACATGGTAATCTTTTGTCTTTTGCTTCATATATTTTTTCAATACAAACAATATATCAGATAAATTTGAAATCCCCAGCTCCCTTCCTAAGTCACCTTCTCTTTTTCTCCTCAGAGACATCAGCTACCATGGCTTTTCTTGAGTCCTTCTATTCTGCATTTCTATTTGTAGGACATACATATCCATAAACAATATTGTATTGTTTTCTGTGGTTTTGTTAAATTACATTACAAGGTATAATGGTTGATATATTTGGTTTGTCACCTCTTATTTTGAGATTTCTCTATTGATACATGCTGATCTGGTTCATTCACTGGAAGTGCCATGTAGAACTCTTTATCTCATTCCCCAGATGTTCACTGGGGTAGGTATTATGATTTCTTTTTCATACATGAGAAAACTGAGAGACTGAAATGATATGTAATTGGCCAGTTTTATAATAGAGCCAGTATGCAAATCCAAAATGAATTTCACCCATTTAAATCCAGAGTCCTTACACCCAGCGGTCTGTGTAGATCCTCAACTTTTAACCTTCATGATCATCAGAACCGCTGCAGCCAACCAGCAATATATGTAATTTCAAAGCAGAGAATCAAAACAAGTAATAAAGGGGGGAAGGTATAAGAGAGAAGGAGCAACAGTATCCATATACCCTTTGCTGCTGTTATCAAAAAAGTTTAAGTTTGAGAGTAAAAACATTCCATGAAATAATTGGTCTAAAGTTTCCATATGCACAGGACTATTTCTTCATGATAGAAGACTTTGATTTGTGTTGCTTAAAATGAATATGTGTGTGTGTGTGTGTGTGTGTGTGTGTGTAAAGATTTCTTTTTTAATTGTTGATGGACACAACACCTTTATTTTGTTTATTTATTGTTTTATGTGGTGCTGAAGATCAACCCAGTGCCTTACACATGCTAGGCGAGCGCTTTACCACTGAACCACAACCCCAACCCTAAAATGAATATATTAAATGAAACATTCAGTCCTGTTTGGATTAAAGAAAGATGTTACAGTGAGTACAATAGAATCTGTATTTTATTTTGCAAAGTGTGTAGACCATTTTCTTAGGTGGAGAAAGGTATCTGAATGTGGATTTTTTTCTTGATACTTTATTTACACTTAAACCGTATGTGTTTTGGACTTCATTTCTTCTTTCATTCTTTTCTTCAACTTCCAGGTAGAAAATCTGGTGTATTAACTGTGAAAATTCTAGAGCTACACGAGGAATGCACCATGCAGGTTGCCATGTGTGAACAGTTAGTGGGGTCGACAGCTGCTCTCCCTTCCAGGGATGTGGCTGCTGAGCCTGGAGCCAGCCTGAAAGTTCTCTTTACTCGGGAGACTTCATGTTACCTCAAGGGATGTCCCCAGGATGTTATCCACATCTTTCCTCCTTGGTAAGTGCAAAGAATTAAGTCTATTAACTGTGAGTCTGTCTCTCAAAAGATATTTTCATCAGGAACATTTTTGTCATCTTATTGTAGAGAAATGCCAGGGAAAGAAAGCCAGAATTTGACCTAAGTTTTATGTAACTGAAACACAAAATTGTCTGTGATGGCTTGTTTATTCTTCTGGAAGCAGTTTTAATAATTTGGGGTAAGGAAATTAGGGAAATAACTACATCAAGAGTCTTGCCCAAGTGATGTGCTGTTATAAGATATGGTTGGTTTTGGTTTTTTCCTCATAGAAAAATAATTTTAATCAGAGGCATTATGTGACAATAGGATGATACATGTTAATTTGATATTTTTTAAAATCACTTAAGGAGGAAGGATGAAAAGCATGAATTACTACATAATAGAATTTGAACTTCAGGAACAGAAATGCTCATTATTAGATCAGAAATTATTTTCAGTAATACATGTTTGCTTTGCTTTGAATGGGATATAAATTTTTACCATGAAAAGAAGAAAATATGTCTCATTCATTTCGAACTTATTAGACTTTGAAAGGAAATGTCTTTCTAGGGAATCCATAGCAAGTGATCGGCATTTCTTGGTGTCTACAGTGACCTCCACACGGTTTTCCAGGGGTTACTTAGTGAGAACTTAAGACTTCCTATGCAGTGTTGGATTTTGGTTTGCTTGCCCTCTCTTTACCCTACTATTCTCTTTTCTATTATTTTATTTTCATTTTTGATCACTTTTTTCTCCATAATTGGAGTATAGGCTGAAAAAGAAAAGTGACAGGAAAACCTATATTTCCCCTAAAAATGATATGTCGTAAGGTCTTCATGCTTTTATGTACCATATCATTCAATGGAAAATGGGTTTTGTATTCTAGAAAAATTAACTGGAATTCTTTTGCTCACCAAGCCAGATGATACCAGATAGAAGTGAATAGATATAATTTCTGAAATAGAAATAATTTCATAAATTTCTCTGGAGTCATTGGCCTTTCAAATTTGCCACCTTAAAAGAAGGAAATAAATCTATACTTAATACATCCAAACACATGAAAGAAGTTTGTTATTCTAAGTATCAGCGATACAAAGCAAAATTGGCAAATACTCTTCATTCACAAATGATGTTAGGAGTATAAGTTGCTACTTTCTTCAGTAATATGTCAAAACATCAATGTAAATATACTTTGATATTAGAACTTTTACTTCAAGAACATTATCTTGTAAAGTGTATTGTTAAAATGTTTTGCATGAAATCCCTAAAATCTAAACATAGCTTAAAAGCCATTAACATGGAATAGACTAAATAAATTCCTATACATTTTTACAGTGTATAATAGTTTAACACAGTGATGAAGATTTATATCACAGAAAGCGGGTCACATGACAGTAATTGAGATTTCTTGTGTGAGGAGGAGCAGTACCATTTCTTCCTTGGTCACCTTCTTATTAGTGGGCAAACAAATTATATATTCTATGTGTCTGCCTGTTCTGGTACAACAAAATACCACAAATGGCATCCCATCTTCTTAAACAGCAGAATTTTTTTTCTGCCAGTCCTGGATGCCAGAAGTCCAAGGTCATTCTGCTAGCAGGGTTGGCTTCCTCTGAGGCCTCTCTCCTTGGTTCTTGGAAAACTGTACTTGCCATGTCTTACTGGGTCTCTGCTGGTGTGCACATTTCCCTGGTGTGTATGTCAGTAGCTACATTCTTCCTCATATAAGGACATGTTGAGTTGGATTGGGGCCTGCCCTTATGGCCTCATTTTAGTTTAATTGTGTCTTTAAAAGATTTGGGTTTAGGGCTTCAATAATGGAGTTTTGCAGGGACACAGTTGTGCCCCAACACTGTTATAACAGTGAACACTTTTTCTGCTGAATATTTCAGTTCTATGATCAGGTTAATCACTTGGTTTCTTTGCTCCCACATGTCAGGTCAAGCTGACTTGGCAAACTTCTAAATAGCTTTCTGAATTGTGTTAGATGTTGTTATAGAAGTTTAGATTTTAAAATTAGTTTTTTTTAAAATAACTCTTAATTTATATAAACAATAATAGCATTTTTTAGGCACTTATAAGGAGAGATGGTGGGTAAATAGTGTTTGAGTTAAGTATATGAATAAGCTAATAGAGGTGATTTAGGGCATTGCTCTTAATACTCTACAAACTTCTGCTGTTTAATTAGGAACTCTTTTTTCTTGATGCAAGAACAGTTTTTTAAAAATCAATGGCCTTTAGATGTTCCCATTTGTTTTTTAGTAGTAAATGTGGGTTTAGGTAAAATGGCTCCTGACTTCAAAGAGCTGAGAGCCCTATGTCTCTATTTCTAATAAATTATCACAAATCCCTATTGGATATAATGTTACCTTGGCTCTATCAATCTGAAAATGAATATGGAATTAAAATGCCTTGCCTAGGATTAATTTCATTACAAAATAGTGATAAAATTACATAACAATAAGTAACTCAGAAAACTCATTGACCTATAAAAATTTAAACATATAAAGATATAGTAATATAATGAACCCCATGTTCAATCACATAGTTTCAACATTCATTAACTAATGAATAAACAACTTTTACTACTAAAGGAATGTGAAAGCTTGAAACAGCTCACTAAATCATATAGATATTTGTAAAGCAAATTAAGGAATGTCCTATGATAGTATTTGGGGGGCAAAGGAAGATGGAACACATTTGGTTGATCATTTTCTACCACCAACTCTGATGCCTATAATGAGGACCAGAAAAAGAGAAGAATGTGATAGTTTTTCAAGAGACAACCAGGACCTTCCTTAACATACTTATATATTCATTCAGAAATATTTATTAGTAACCTCTGTGCCAGATAGTTTGAATACATATCCTTATATGGGAGATAAGTACAAGCTAACTTTCCCCATTATCATTAATTTCTCTATCAGTAAACTCAAAGAGTCATCTTTTAAATAACTATTTATATTTCACTATATAGACATCATAATTTAAGCCGTCTCCTACCTGGAGGTTTTAAGGTTGCTTTTCATTTTGAGCAGTTAAATAAATCATCCTTATATGTTCTTTTGATGTGTTCTTGGGATAGTTCTAGAAATAGAAATTCTTGGACAAAGAATATGAGTGAGCTTTGCATCTTTTATCTGTTGTTATTATAGTTACCTATGGTTGTAGTTGGGGCTGAGGCTGTGTTTTAGTTAGATTTGTGTTGCTATGACAAACCTGATAAGAGCAACAGAGAGGAGAAAATGTTTCTTTTGGCTCACAGTTTTGGAGTTTCAGTCCATGGACAACTGACTTCATATCTCCAGGCCCCAGATGAGGGGGACCATCAGGGTGGAAGGGCATGGCAGAGGAAAGCAGCTGAGGACAAGGTAACCAGGAAGTATAGGGCTGGGGATGTGGCTCAAGCAGTAGCGCGCTTGCCTGGCATGCGTGCGGCCCGGGTTCGATCCTCAGCACCACATACCAAAAAAAACCAAAGATGTTGTGTCCGCCGAAAACTAAAAAATAAATATTAAAAAATTCTCTCTTTCTCTCTCTCTCTCTCTCTCTCTCTCCCTCTCTCCCTCCCTCCCTCCCTCCCTCCCTCCCTCTCCCCCCTTCCCCTCTCTTCACTCTCTCTTTAAAAAAAAAAAACAAAAAAAACCAGGAAGTATAAAATTCTGCTCACCAGGAGCAAAATATAAACTACAAATTCATACCCCCAGTGACCCCCCTCCTCCAACTATACCTCACCTGTCCAGTAACTATCCAGTTAATCCATTTTAGTGGTTTAAATCTACTGATTAGGTTATATCTCTCATACTCTAATTACTTTACCTCTGAAAATTCTTGCATTGTCTCACACATGAGCTTTTTGGAGATACCTAACCATAACATTCCACTCCAGCCCCCAAAAGCTCAGGCCCATTTTATCATGCAAAGTACATTTAATCTATTTCCAGGAATCTGCATAATCTTTACATTTCTAAGCATTACCCAAAAGTCTGAGTCCAAAATGTCTTCTGAAACTCAAGGCAAACTCATAGTTGTTTTCCCCTATAAAAATTAAAAGCAAGTTACATATATCCAATATATCATATGACCATAGAGTAAACATTTCTGTTCCATAAGGGAGAAATTGTGGCATAGAAAGAACGGATGGGACCAAAGCAGGACCAAAATTCAACTGGGTAAACACGTCTGGTAGCTCCATATCCCCCATTTGGGGCACATGGCATTGTGAGGTTCTCTCCATTAGGGCTTGTGTAGATCTACCCCTCTGGCCTTGCTGGTTTCTCTTGGTTATGTGGGAGACTCCCCGCTGAAGTTAAGTTTGCATCTTGCTAGAACATCATGGAATCCCTTACCCCTCCCCCTCCTCTCTGAAGGGCGCCAAGCCAAAGGGCGCCAAATTAAAAAGTTTTCTCGACCAGTCCTGTTGAGACACAGTGTCCACTCACTGTTCCTGAGTCACCCTGCCAATCCGCACCCGCCACGTCGCCTATGCAACCCTTCTTAAGCCAAAGCTTGCAAGCTCACGCTCTCTGCCCTCTTCCTCTCTGCTCTCTGCCCTGTTCCTCCTTTTTCTCTCCTCACTTTGCTCTCTACCTCTCCATTTCTTCCCCTTCGGGCAGTCCCCCTATTAATCTCTTGGTTGAATATCTGTCTTGGGTGAGTCACTTGCCTTTCAGTTTCAGCCCATATGGCCTCTCTCTTGACTTTTCTCTGCTCAATTCATGCAGCTTTCCATGGCAGCTATCCCACAATAGTGGCTTCTCTTAGTCTTGGGGTTCTTTACTGCAGCTTAAGCTTCCTTCTCACATCTTTACACCTTGCCCTCTCAGGGGCTGCTGGCAGGAATTTCAACCCTGCTCCACTTTGTCTGCCTTCCCAGGCCTTCCTTTGAAATCTCAATGTAAGCTTGTCCAGCATTCTGCATTCCTGCATTCCAGCTGAACTAACACCACATGGTTGATTCCAAGATCTGCTGACATTTTTATTGTAGTCAAGCCCCCTGG